AGAGCTTCTCTCTCTCTCTCTTTCTCTTTCTCTCTCTCTCTCTCTCTCTCTCTCTCTCTCTCTCTCTCTCTCTCTCTCTCTCTCTCTCTCTTTCTCACACACACACACACACACACACACACACACACACACACACACACACACCTTTTTCCAAAGAACAATTTTCTTTACTGCAAAACCACAAATGCTTACTTAACAGTCTGACTACTACCAGAAGCTGAACTCATTATCACACAAACCTTAGCATGTTATCTCTAAGGAAAAATATGGCAGTTTTAAATCCAAGTGGCTAGGGACCTGGGAACACAGGCTCCTAGGCCTGCTCCCTCTCCCCCTTCCTTTTCTCCAGCCTCATATGCCTATACATAATTTTCCAGTCTTTGACAACTTAAAAGCTTTGGAGCATTGCTGGATTAAATGATAAATATCTAAATATTTCAATACACTTCAAGTTCACACAATTTTAGCTTTTATTATAGAAAATCTATACATTTATAACTTAATATAGTGGCCTATACTTTATTAAAGATATATTTCTTAAAAGTGAAAATGTTCATAAATGTCAATCTAAGAAATGTTGGCTCTTTATTTTTTGATTATCATTGAAAAATTAAAGTTTAGAAATTGTATAGTTTTAATAATAGAAGGCATAGACATGCATTTTTAAAGGAAAAAGAAAGTCAGTTAAAGTTTTAAGAATGTTTATGAAAGCTGTAGAAATGTTTGTGAAAGTTATAGGTTTGTAGGGAGAAATGTTAAAAAGAAATTATATAAATGACACAGGCCAGTAAGCCAGAACAAGCAGAATAGGAAAACTGAGATAGTAAAACAGCAGTCCCACAGCCATCTAGTAAATCCCATCTTCCCTGAACCAAGGACACTTAAAAGTAAATAATTTAAGAATAAACCTCATTTGGGTATATTAGATGACAATCCTCCATGTCTCCTTCCTTCCACCAGACTATTTGTCATAACTCTTAATGTTCTAGGTTTTCACTGAGTAATACTAAAATGTATAAAACAGTTTGTCTCCACCAGATTACAAGCCCTACTTGTACTCAGAAAATACCACTCCTAGATCCCATCACAACCTCCTTTTGTGCCCAGGCCTCATCGACCCTCTGACCTCCAGAGTAAGGAAAATGGGCCAGATACAAGTGTAGAAGCTCACCAGAACAAAAAGCTCCAGATGGACAAAACTGGGGAAACAGAAACCTCACCCCCAGGGTAACCTACCTTCCCATTAGCCTTCCTGGAAAAAATAGCCCCTCACATATCAGCCAAATGACTAATAAATTATATACCCAGGCTTCCACATTCCTTTAAATTGTTAGTGACAACATACCCCACCTGGCACAGACTATCCCGTCCAAACAGTGCAAGATATTTTCAAACTTATTACAGACCTCTGGCTCCAGGGTGATTTACAGGATTTCACCTCTATTTGTTTAGCTTCATAGTGCTTCTGAATCTCGCAGATATCTTATATGCCTAAAATGCACCCCCCCCCCCTCTAGCCCTAAGGAAGGGGCTTGTTTAATTGTTAACACTTGTTTTTATCTAAACTCTATAGGTCAAATAGAGGAAAGAACACAACATTCTGCAGAATACTCAATGACTCAAGGAGATGAGCTAGGACAGCATAGAGCAGTCCATATAATCCAACCTACAAGCAGCTTTGCCCAAATTAACCTGGATTTTACTCCTTTAAGCCTCCCTAATACTATTTCTCCTCCTTCTCCTCCTCCTCCTCCTCCTCCTCCTCCTCCTCCTCCTCCTCCTCTTCCTCTTCCTCCCCCTTCTCCTCCTCCTCCTCCTTTTCCTCCTCCTCCTCCTCCTCTTCCTCCTCCTCTTCAGGCCCTGCATTTTAAGGATAATTACCAAATTTATACAAACAGTATTACAAGTCCTAGTTAACCAGACAGTAGGACAGTTTGTCCTTACCCAGGTAAAGGGACCTATAGTTCTATATCCCAGAAAATAATCTGAATTAACTCCTTAGGAATCTACAAGATCCCATCCTATGCAGGAAGTAAAAGAAAAATGGCGACCCCATCCCCCCTTCTTTTCCTTTATATATACCCTTTAAGATGGGAATGAAAGGGTTAAAGATAATAAAATAGGGCAAAGAAAACTTATTGTGCTTAGCAGATATCTTGCAAAAAGCTTGCAGCCTTGATCATTGCATAGCTTAGATCAGTGTTTCCCAACCTTCTCTCATGATGAGAATCACCTGGTGGAGTTGTTAAAACACAGATTCCTGAATCCCAACTAAGAAGTGCTAAACTAGAATTTTTGAGAACATATAGGTAAAATTGCATACCTAACTTAGTGCTCTGTATATAAAATCTGTCTTAGAGCACTAGTTAAGTATACAATTTTACCTATATGTTCCCAAAAATTCTAGTTTAGCACTTCTTAGTTGGGATTCAGGAATCTGTGTTTTAACAACTCCACCAGGTGATTCTCATCATGAGAGAAGGTTGGGAAACACTGGCTTAGATAACCAGAAGACACCTGGCATCAGGAGAAACCAAGGATGGACTGGACCCTTATGTCAACAGAATGGCTTGCAGCCAACAGAAGTTAATAAAACCGTGCCTCCCCCTTCACTCTCTGCTGATTCCTTTGTCGGACTCAGCCTACCTGCACCCAGGTGCCTGAAATAAAAGTTGTTTTGATACATGCCATAGGTCCGTGACCCCTGCCCACTCCAAACCTTTCAGCCATGTGAACTGCTTTGATTATAGGAATGTTAGGGATAAAAAGCTTTAAACATACTTGCATAGTTTGTCTTGTCCTGAAACACATGGAGGTGGGCTGAACCTTACTCATTCAGAGTAATCAGAGCCACTTCCAGCCCAGATGGCCTGAAGACTATTAGCAAGGAAAACAAAAATGTGCTAGTGCAAACCACTGGATTTAGGATTACGGTAGTTATTACAAAGTAAATTTGACTAATACAACAACTTTGTGAATTATATCTAGCCCTAACTTGCGGATGAGAACACCGAGGAGTTGAAAAATGAAGTGGCTTTCTCAAACAGGAAAATAATTTTCCAGAGGCACATAGATTTCTCCTGATGTCTCAGTGGCCATAACTGTGTAGATACCTACCTACAATTGCAATAGATATTGCAAAAATATCCGGCATCAATAGATATTGCAAAAATATCTGTGTAGATACCTACCTACAATTGCAATAGATATTGCAAAAATATCTGGCATCCTCTTCTGTGGGAACTAGAGTCTACCATCATGGAAGGAAGGGGAGATAAATGATTTTTGAGTAGGCACTCAACAGTGCCTGCCATTCCTTTGTCAGGCTTCAAAGTTCATTAACTTTACTAGTTCCCAATGTTGTGTTCTATCATAAGTAGGCAGAAGCTACTTGGAAGTCTCTTCAACTTAACCTTAGTGAACTGGTTTTTCCTTTAGTACTTCTGCCCTTGCCATGAGAAGAACATCCTCCAGGTAACTGATGGAGTCAACCTAAACTCACACAGAACTTCCCCATGAGTAAGGAAAAGAAAAAGAAAAAGTTTAGGGGTGCTTGTTATTAATTTAAAAATTATAGTGTTTTGAAGTTCATCCAGATGTACCTGGCTATCAATTCAGATTCGAGTGAGCTTCAATTATAACCACCTTTGGGTGTGAGCATATCAAAAAATCTAGGACATGATATTCATTCATAATTAGAAAAATGAAAATTAAAATAGCACATAAACAAGAATGAGTAAGTAAAATTTATAGTACAGCCAACTTATGGGAAAACAGGCACTCTCATATACCTTTTTATTCCTTTTTTTTTTTCATACACTATTGAGGGAGAAGTTAGATAGGTGCCTCCTCTCTGGAAGGCAATTTGGCAAGTGGATCAAAATTATCTTAGCAACTCCAATAAATATTTATGTCTGGGTATACAGAGAAGTGTGTATAATGTGTTGCAGCATTATATATATATTGGCAAAGGACTAGAAACTGCCAAAATGCCCGTTAACAGGCACTAGATAAATGATGTGTGGTACCACATATACAATGAAGAATTATCCAGCTATGAATGGTTGTTGGTATGGAAAGTTCTCTAACATAGATGGTCAGATTGAAAAAAATAAGGTGAATAACAGTGTTCATGGTTCATTCACATATGCATGTGTGTGGATATGTTTAGCATATTCCTGGGAAGATTCACAAGAAATAGGTAAAATTGCCTATGGGGATAAAGGTGACTGGGAGTCTGAGATGAGAAGAAGACTTACCTCTCATTTTATATACCCTTTGTATATTTCAGAGTGTGTGTGTGTGTGTGAATGTGAACTACATGAAATATTTAAAAAATAAAGATGTAGTTAATAAAATTAAATATAATAAATAGTAATTAACATTCCCTCAAGGTATACGGGGGGGGGGGGGGGGGGGACAAAACCTAATATGCCCAGCTGGCGTGCTCAGTGGTTGAGCATCAACCTATGAACCAGGAAGTCATGGTTCAATTCCTCGGCATATGCCAAGGTTTCAGGTTCAATCCCCCAGTGGACATACAGGAGGCAGCCTATTGATGTGTCTCTCTCATCAATGTTTCTATATCTCTATCCCTCTCCCCTCCTCTCTGAAATCAATAATATATATATATATATATATATATATATATATATATATATATTAAGTAATATCTATATATTATTAAATAATATATAGATATATATTATTAAAGGCCCCCCTCCCTGGTGGCCTGGCTGGGACGAGGGGATCCACATGGGTGGGGCCCGATGCTGGGAGCAGACCTCTGGCACACCCATCCCGCCCCTGCCCCCTAGAGCGCTCTGCTGGTCTCAGTCTCTAGTGGGCACTCATCTGCCAGGTGGCTCTGACCACCCACCCAGGGCCAGGGAGTGCCCAGCCCCATGAACCACTGAGTTTGCCTCCTGCATCTGCACCCACACACTCATCCACCTACCTTGTCCGGAGGGAAAGGAAGAGCAGAGCTGAGGGTCCCGCCGGCATGTCAGGTTACAAACCATTCCCAGTGCCCACTGCTTTGGGCACTGAGCATAGAAATAGCCCCTTTCTCTGCATCCTGGCGTCAGTCACAGGTGCAGCACAGCAGCCGGTCTGTGGTGCCGGCAGGTCCAGCACCCACAGGGCAGCCAATAAAATATGTAAAAAAATAATAGCCTTCCTATTAAATCTAGAAAAACCAATGTGTTTAAAAGGGTAACTTTTTAAAACAATGATTTAGTGATTAGACTGTGGAAGGTTGAATTTTCAAGGACTATCAAGTTTCATTAAGTAGACAGAGAATGACCTGAAAAGGAAATGAATGACTCTTTTTCAGTCAGTGAGGGAGGTAGGGTTATTTATATAAATCTAATGACACAGGAAATATAATGTCTGCATTTTCTTCATGGTTCATCTTCTACTCCAGAGAGGCCAGAAGGACAAGGCCCTGAAGTTATGCCTATGGTATGACTAGTCTAGGAGAATTAAAGTGTTTCTGAGGCACTGAGCCATTATGAAATATCAAAGCAATAACTTTTGTTAAATTAGAAAAAAGGCCCATACATTAATTTCCCCAGTAAAATAAAAATACGTGTGTTAGATTTTTATGGGGTAAATGCAGAATAGCTACATTCTTAGGGAAGAAATGAACATATATGGTCAAATAAATGACACTCAATGCAAAATCACTATCAAAAGGTGTCATTTCTATTGTCAAATGGACATCCTGTTATCTTCCGATAAATGAAGGTATTTAATGCATTTTATAGCCTTAAAAGGAGGTAAGGAAAACTAATACAGTTAGATATGATATGTTCATGCCTTATGCAGTGTTTCCCAAACTTTTGACATATGTGTACCCCTTCTATAATTTTCATGACACTGAGTACCCCTCATACTCATGAGAACGTAGAATTAGGCGCAGCTAAGCACAGTGCAGTGCATATCCCCACCAAACTCGGGTGCGACGCGTACCCCCACCAAACTCTTCCCATACCCCTGGGGGTACGCGTACCACACTTTGGGAAACACTGCCTTATGGGAATGTGCAGTTCCATTGTGAGGACAGAATTAGGCATAATTGGTGCAGGGCTGGAGACAAGGAGTATTGTCAGTTAGAGAAAGGAGAAGCTGGAGAAAGTGTCACCCTGGATCTAGAACACAGGTTATGCCTAAAATTAAGAGTACTCAGGTTGGTAGAATGGTATGAATAAAGACTTAGAAAGGGACCACCGGCAAATTGAGAAAGTAGACACCAGCATCAATGTATCATGTTGGGCAGGATGGAGAATGTTCAGTTTGAATAGAAACAGTCCAGCTTGCAGCAGGATTGTAAGCCATGGGCAAGTGTACAATTCTTGTGTTACTGATGTGTTTACAAAGTTCTGTCCTACCAGATAACAGATAATCAGCTCGGGGCAGGGTGGAGGGTTGAAGAAGTCCTAGTCCAAGTGGTTAGATATTTGAGAAATATTAGGTTAAAAAAGGTGATTTACACACACACACACACACACACACACACACACACACACACACACTGCAGGATTTCTTGGTGTAGTATGCATCTCCAAGAGTGAGTTAGAATTTTCAAAAGAAAATATTTGACAAAATGTCCATCATCTTGCACAACAAACAATAATATCACAACTCTGTTTGGGAAATGCCAGGGAGGCAACAGAGAAACCCTTATTCATTCCAGAGAAAGGAAGTGATTCAAACAAAGACTTGGAAAAGGTCTATGACCTGTAGGTTATAAAATGAGTTAAAGTACTGACATGAAACATTGGAAACAAGTTTCTTTCCAACTTCAGTTTTCCTCACTCATGTATTCTCACACCTTTTCACCACTCTAAGAAGTGTGATATTAGGAAATTTCAACTGGGAGGCTCAATCCTGGGGGGCAGAGGACTGTTAGAATAAAAAAGAATCTGAGAGTTAATTAACAGATAAAATAGATGGTTAAGAGGAGTAGAGGCTCTGGCAATAATGTCTTTGGAAAGACAGGGAGATGAAATCAGCTAGCCTCAGAGATTATACTGGTTTTTTTGGTTTGATCTATGGGTTGTGGGAGGGTAGACTAAGGGAATACCACTTGGTAAGGGAAGCAGAGGCAGGAACTGAGTTGGATCTACATCATATGGTCAAATACATGACACTCAATGCAAAAACACTATGAAAAAGTGTCATTTATGCCGAGACTGGTTTGGCTTAATGGATAGAGCATCGGCTTGGGAACTGAAGGGTCCCGGGTTCGATTCCGGTCAAGGGCATGTACCTTGGTTGCGGGCATATCCCCAGTAGGGGGTGTGCAAGAGGCAGCTGATCGATGACTCTCTCTCATCGATGTTTCTAACTCTCTATCTCTCTCCCTTCCTCTCTGTACAAAAAATCAATAAAATATATATATTTTTTAAAAAGTGTCATTTCTATTGTCAAATGGACATCCTGTTATCTTCTGATAAATGAAGGTATTTAATGCATTTTATAGCTTTTTCCATCTCAAGCTTCCAAGTGCTTCTACATTCCTGGGATATGGTGGTTCACTAGGTGTACAAGGTTAACACTTACAAGTTATAAAATCAGAAAGACTGAAATTCTGGTCATAGGACCAGACAAATTCCAAAGCTATCTTTTAAACAAATGAACATTTTCCGTAACCAAGCAAAACAAATCATTTTCTCAGTTAGCTGAGAAAAGCAGAAAATAGAAAACAAAACAAATAAGGTAATAAAACATTACTAGCATTCTCTTCATTTAGAATGCCAATTTTAACGTTTTATTTCACTAAATGTAAGAATATTTGTAATTTGGTTGCTGTTGATCCACCCACACTAATTTCCAACATAAAGATGATCTTCAACTAGGATTTCCTTTAGCACAGGTTTTTTTTTTCTTTCTACAATTTCATACTTACACCTAAGAGAAAGAGTACATAATTCATCTCCCTCAGAATAAACCAAAAATCTTGAATTTACATGTAAAGCAATAGCATCTGTGTGTTCTACAAATTCTGCATCAAGCTGTGTGTAGAGTCTGAAAAACTAATAAAAGTCATAGTGAATGACCTTAAAATATAGATAATTAGACAATAGGGGCCGAGCTATACAAATACTGCACTGTCCACCAGTGCTGCAAAATAATGCAGGAAAAGAAACAAGGAGCTTGTTTGATCCTGAGCTACCCAAAGCCAGCTTAGTCCAATCGGGAAAGGATAAAAATCTTACATTAAGATTTTCTTAATTTGGATTTAAATAAGATGAGGGAACTATTGATGTGACAGAAATTAGGCTGTGATATATGGGGATCAGTGTTGAGAAACTGTGAGCTAAGAGTCGGCTGCCATTTCCCCAGTCCTTTGGGTCATTTTAGGAGTGTACTAGAAAAATGTGTGCCAAAGCAAATGTCTCTCAACTTGGCAAGGACCCTCCTTTAAAGTCAGGCAAGTAGGACTCACTGTGAAAGAATAAATAATAATCCAGATAATTGTTCAATAAACAAGACCTCATTTATCAGTTTTATTTTTATTAAATTGTTTATTGTTGAAAGTATTACATATGTCACCTTCACACCCATCGACCTCTCTCAGTCCGCTCTCCCCATCCCCATAGCACAGGCCTTCATGCCCCTGTAATCTGTGTCCATTGGTTTTGCATACCAGTCCTTTTGTTGATCTCTTGATCCCACCTCTCATCCTCCCCTGCCTTCCCTCTGCAGTTTAACCATGTGTTCGATACTTCTATGTCTCTAGATCTATTTATGTTCAGTTTATGTTGTTCATTATATTCCAAAAATGAGTGAGATCATGTGATATTTTTCTTTCTCCTACTGGCTTATTTCACTTAGTATAATGCTCTTCAGGTCCATCCACGCTGTTGCAAATGGTAAAAGTTATTTCTTTTGTATAGCAGCATAGTATTTCGTTGTGTAGATGTACCATGGCATTTTTGTCCTCTCATCTGCTGATGGGCACTTAAGCTATTTCCAAATCTTAGCTATTATAAATTATGCTGCTATGAACATATATTATCTCTGATTAATGTTTCTGATTTCTTGGGATATATTTCTATAAGTGGGATTACTGGGTCAAATGGAAGTTCCATTGTTAATTTTTTGAGGAAACTCCATACTGTTTTCCATAGTGGCCGCACCAGTCTACATTCCCACCAGCAGTACACTGGGGTTCCTTTTTCCCCCCACATTCTTGCCATTTGTTGATTTATTGATGATAGCCATTCTGACAGGTGTAAGATGGTACTTCATTGTCATTTTGATTTGCATCTCTAAGATGATTAGTGACTTTGAGCATATTTTCATATGTCTCTTGGCCTTCCTTATGTGCTCTTTCGAAAAGGTTCTATTTAGGTCCATTGCCCATTTTTTTTTATTGGATTGTTTATCTTCCTTTTGTTAAGTTTTATGACTTTCCTAGAAATTGTGGAAATTAAACACTTACTGAATGTAACATCGGCAAATATATTCTCCCATTCAGTGGGCTTTCCTGTTGTTTTGTTGAGGGTTTCTATTACTGTTACCTCCTTTGTCAAATATTAACTGAGCATAATGGCTTGGGTTGATTTCTGCATTCTCTGTTCAGTTCCATTGGTCTATATGTCTGTCCTTGTGTCAGTATCAGGAAGTTTTGAGAACAGTGGCATCTATAATAATAAAAGTGTAATATGCTAATTAGATTGGACATCCTTCAGGAAGACCTTCTGGACGAAGCTAGAGCTACCAGGGAAGCCCAGATGCCAGGTGTCTGCCTGGTGCTGGAGGGAAGCCACTACCAGCAGCCAGGGGAAAAAAGTCCTACTCTTGCATGAATTTCATCCATTGGCCATCTAGTTGTAATATAATTTGATATCTAGTATTTTGATCTCTCCCACTCTATTTTTCTTTCTCAGGCCGTGTTTCTGAGTTAGAACTCCTAAAGCATTGGCCTACTCCATGTTTCTGAGTTAGAAAAGGAAGAAGGGAAGTTTATAGTTTGGATGCTCCAGAGCAGGGGCTTTAGACAGTACTTCCCTAGAGTCTCAACAGCTTGTTTCCCTTCAGGGTTCCACTGAATTGGATCAGGTGTATCTGACTTTAACAGGGCATAGAGTGGCTGGGCTATCAATGAAAAGCTTGGAACCCAATTTCTA